AGAAACATGTTCCTCTTGGTTGTTATGGTTTATTTTATGGGCCTGCCTATTGTTTGGCTGAAAGGGTCTCCAGGAGTGGCTTCAGTTCCAGTTCAGAAGGTGTCTTAGGGCCATAGTCTCAGAGGTTTCTCCAGTCTTTGTTAGACCAGTAAGTCTGGTCTTTCTTGTGCGTGTGATTTTTTTGTTCTACATTTTTCTCTTGCTCTGTCCGGAACCCTCTGTTGTGATCCCAGTCAGAGAGGTTGGTAGTGGTAGCTGGGCATCAGTTAGTTCTTCTGGTCTTGGGGTCGTGTAGGCTGTGGTTTGTGTCATCCACTAGTCCTTTGGGCTAACTGCTCTCTTGAGTCTTTGTTTTCTTTACTTCCTTTGCTCTGAATGGGAAGAAACCAGTAGCTGTATCTTAGATGGCCACTCACAACCTTTTAAGACCCCAGATGCTACTCACCAAAGTAAGATGTAGAACATTGTCTTTATGAACTATGTTGTACCCATTGATGTAGATGTCCCCCGAGTCTATGGTCCTTCGCCTTCAAGCCTAGGAATTTCGTCTTGCAAGGTGTTTGCTTATGGCTAAGAAGTTTTGGTGACTGTGCCCTGTGTATGCTCTATATTAATATACATGCAGCACCTACAATTATGTATGTAGAAATATCTACAACCAAACCTACATCTGCAGGCGGGTGTGCTCTCTTATACCTTCCCATACCTCTTTAGTATCTACCTATGTATTTATTTGTAAATTATTGTTTGTTAATACTATTGTTGCAGAATTGTGTATGTTATAGTGTCATGGATTGAATTATGTCCCCCAAAAATGTGTGTATCAATTTGGCTGGGCCATGATTCCTGGTATTGTGTGATTTTCCTATATGTTGTAAATCCTGCCTCTATGATATTAATGAGGGAGGATGGGTGGCAGTTGGATTGGATTGTGTCCTGAGGCAATCTCTTGAGATATAAAAGAGAGGAGTGAGCAGAGAGACAGGGGGCCCTCATACCACCAAGAAAGCAGTGCCAGGAGCAGAGCGTGTCCTTTGGATCTGGGGTCCCTGTGCAGAGAAGCTCCTAGTCCGGGGAAACATTGATGAGAAGGCTGACAGAGAGAGAAAGCCTTCCCCTGGAGCTGACACCCTGAATTTGGAGTTTTAGCATACTTTACTGTGAAGAAATTAATTTGTCTTTGTTAAACCCATCCCCTTGTGGTACTTCTGTTACAGCAACACTAGATGACTAAGACAAATAGTAATTACCTTACCCAAAAAAACCAAACCCGTTGCCATCAAGTTGCTTCCAACTCATAGCAACCCTGTCGGACGAGTAGAACTCCCCATAGGATTTCCAAGGAACACCTGGGGGATTCGAACTGCTGACCTTTTGTTTAGCAGCTGTAGCTCTTAACCCCTATGCCCAGGGTTTCTAGTAATTATCTTAGTTGCCTTTTATTCTCTCTTCCCTCTCAGTGTCTTCCTTTGCCTTGGTCATGTTGTGCTGACATCCTCCCATATTGTGTATTGCCTTTGCCTTCACCAAAATTAACATTTGTCTTCTATCTAGCTAGTAATTTTTTTTCTTGTGCTTTAAGTGAAAGTTTACAATTCAAGTTAGTCTCTCATACAAAAATTTATACATACATTGTTATGTGACCCTTGTTGCTCTCCCTGTACTGTGACAGCACATTCCTCCTTTCCACCTCAGATTTCCTGTGTCCCTTCAACCAGCTTCTTTCCTTCTCTGCCTTCTCATCTTGCCCTGGATAGGAGCTGCCCATTTAGTCTCATGTATCTACTTGAGCTATGAAGCACACTCTTCACAAGTATCATTTTATGTCCCATAGTCCAATCTAATCTTTGTCTGAAGAGTTGGCCTCGGGAATGTTTTTAGTTTTGCTAGTAATTTTTTATGATATCCTTTATATCATCCTGGAGTCCTGGTGGCCCATTGGTTAAGTGCTGTGGCTGCTAACCAAAAGGTTGGCAGTTTGAATTCACTGGCTGCTCCTTGGAAACTCTATGGTTTAGTTCCACGCTGTCCTGTGGGGTGCTATGAGTTGGAATTGGCTCGATAGCAACGGATTTTTATATCATCCCACAACTCGTTCTTTCAGCTTGAGAAATGCCAAGCATATTCTTCCCTTTTGGTTTTCTAACTCCAGGTCTTTGCACATTTCATTATAATACTTTACTTTGTCTTCTCGAGCTACCCTTTGAAACCTTCCATTTAACTTTTTACTTCATTATTTTATCCATTTGCTTTAGCTACTCTACATTAAAGAGCAAGTTTCTGAGTCACTTCTGACATGTATTTTGGTCTTTCTTTCCTGTCTTTTTAATGACCTCTTGCTTTTTCTTCATGTATGATGTCCTTGATGTCATCCCACAGCTTGTCTGGTCTTTGTCATTAGTGTTCAGTGCATCAAATCTGTTCTTGAGATGGTCTCCAAATTCAGGTGGGATATATTCAGGGTCGTATTTTAGCTCTCATGGACTTTTAATTTTAATTTTCTACAGTTTCAACTTGAAACTTGCATATAAGCAGTTGATGGTCTGTTCCGTAGTCAGCTCCTGGCCTTGTTCTGAGTGATGACATTGAGCTTTTCCATTGTCTTGTTCCACAGATGTCGTTTTGATTCCTGTGTATTCCATCTAGCGAGGTCCAGCCGTTGTATGTTGTTGAAAAGAGGTATTTGCAGTGAATATGTTATTAATGTTGCAAAATTCTGTCATGTGATCTCTGGCGTTGTTTTTTATCACCAAGGCCATATTTTCCAACTACCGGTCCTTCTTCCTTGTTTCAAGCTTTCACATTCCATTCGCTGGTAATTATCAATGCATCTTGAGTGCATGTTTTATTTCAGAAGTTGGTAAAAATCTTCAGTTTCTTCATCTTTGACATTAGTGGTTGGTGTGTAAATTGGAATAATAGTCATATTAACTGGTTTTCCTTGTAGGTGTGTAGATATTATCCTATCACTGACAGCATTGTACATCAGGATGGATCTTGAAATATTATTTTTGGTGATGCATGTGATGCCATTCCTCTTCAGTTTGTTATTGTCGGCATAGTAGACCATATGATTGTCTGATTCAGGATGGCCAGTAGCAGTCCATTTCAGCTGACCAGTACCTGAGATATCTATCTTTATGTGGTCCATTTCATTTTTGACGACTCCCAATTTTCCTAGATTCGTACCACCACAGTATGACAAATTGACAGATGAGTGATGGTTGCTGAGATTATACACAGCGAGATGTATACCAATTCAACAGTTTCTACATGTACAATTTAGTGACACTGATTACATTCTTCAAGTTGTGCAGCCATTCTCACCGTCCTTTTCTTGAGTTGTTCCTCACCCACTGACATAAGCTCACTGCCCCCTAAGGTTCCTATCTGATATTTCGAGTTGCTAATGTCAGTTTGATCCCATACAGATAATTTTTAAAAGAGTGTAATGCTCAGGGAAGACATTTTTTACTAGTTAAGCTAAACTATTATTTGGTCTTAAGACAACTTTAGGGGATATTTTTGGTTTAAGGTTTAAAAATTATCTCAGGGCAGTAGTTTCAGGGGTTCATCCAACCTTCATGGCTTCAGGAAGTCTTGAATCCATGAGAATTTGAAATTCTGTCCCGTATTTTCCCCCTTTAGATCAAAGATTCTTTTGTGGAATCCTTGATCAAAACGTTCAGTAATGGTAGCCGGGCATCATCCAGTTCTTCTGGCCTTATGGCAGAGGAGTCAATTGTTCATGGAGGCAATTAACCGCACATTCCATTTCCTTCTCCTATTCCCAACTCTCTTTCTTCTTCCTCTTTTGCTCCAGGTGAATAGAGACCAGTTGTTGTGCCTTGGATGGCCACTTGGCAAGCTTTAAGACCCCAGACGCTGCGCGGTGGATTAGGAGGTAGAACAGAAGCGCTAAACAAGTTACTAGGCCAATTGACTGGGATGTCCCATGAAACCATGACCCTTTACCTCCAAACCAAGAAACCAAATCCCAGGAGGTTTTTGGTTGTACATAAGCAACTTCAGTGGCTACTCTCGTTTTTTGGGTCATTTTTGTAGATAATATTTGTCACACAACTTTTGCCAAGTCAGCTTTTTACAGGTGTACCGCTTATTGACAGCAATTACGATATTCCTCCCGTATTTTTAATATTAGTTACCTCAGGGGACAAGAGAAAAATTATTAACTTTTTTTATACATCTTTCATTGTTTCGTTTGTTTTAAGAAGCATGTGTTACTCTTTAATTAAAAAAATCTAATAAAGTCGAAAATGAAATAAATAATAATAATTAAAAAAAAAATATCCTAAGGGTCCCGAGCTTTGTTTCCATCTTACCAGTAGCCTGGGTGGTTAAGACTGAATGTGACCTTTCAGATATGGGCTGCCCAACAGGACCCCTGCTGTCTGCTACGCTGATGTTAACTTTTCTGGCAGCTACACTACATGGTTGGGGGTTTCTGAGCTTAGACGTTTTAACATCCCCAAGTCTTTCTTTGTATCTCCTACTCTTGGCACACTCGGTACTTCGTAATCTTTTTTTGGCCCAAGTCTGCTCCTTTTCACCCTGTTAGATTTCATCTTGCCGTTATGGAGGTCCGACCTTGGATTCAGGCTGCCTGGGTTCAAATTCTACCTACCACTGACTAAGTAGTGAAAACTTGGACAGATAATTAACTGGTCTTGGCTGAGCCTCAGTTTTCTCATCTGTGAAGCAGCAGTGTTAACAGAGTTGTGAGGTTTCAGTGAGCATCTGCATGCTGGGACACTCTCTAGGTGCCTGGTGGTGTGCCGAGAGCATGGTAACTGCCTCGGTTACTGTCCATGTGCTCACCTCAGCTCGTGGCCCATCCACTGACCTGTCACTGAGATACCTCCCGGTCTTCACTCTTCCCTTAACCGCGTTCCATGTCTCTCCCAGCCCAGACCGGAAACGGGCCCAGCTTCCAGACCTTCTTCACGAGATCCTCAGTCCTTCTCTGTCTCATTCTGCAGGCCCTTTCACCGATGTTGTCACCACCAACCTAAAGCTTGGCAACCCGACAGACCGAAATGTGTGTTTTAAAGTGAAGACCACGGCGCCACGTAGGTACTGCGTGAGGCCCAACAGTGGGATCATTGACGCGGGGGCATCCATTAATGTATCTGGTAAGTCCTGGGCCTGGAGGCCAGCAGGGCGGGTTAAAGAAGGCCCCCTAGAAGCAGTGGGTTTTCTGAAAGCTTGTATGTGCAGTGTAGCAAAATAAGACGGTAGCCTCCCCCCACCCAAGCACCCTGGCCCCTGATTCAAAAGCTTAGTGGGTCCCGCTCACCTTTGTCTGTCCACAGTTAATGCCTCTTTGGTTTAATGCTGCCAGCCTTTGTGCCTCTGCAGTTAGAGCAGAATTAAAAGGGTAACTTTAGACTTGACTGTAGAATGAGTTTGGTTTTCACTCCCTTGAAATTAAATCTACCCTTTGGCAATAAATAAAAAAGGGCTAAACAAACTTAATTTTACTTTGTGGGAGAAAACTAAATGGAGTTATTTTCTTATTTAAGCTAAATGATTTCTGACATTAAGCTCATGTCACTTCCAATGATTGGTAACTGCACTTTACTGATTGTGAAAAGCTCAGGGAGATGAGGGCTGAGGAAATTGGAATATATTCAAGGGTGTAAGTTGTGTGCATGTCTGATGGTTTCTTCCCCCCTTTTGTCTTGGAGTGCATATATTTTCCAAAGTTCAACTTTTGAAAAGATGCTGGTAAAGTGCCCAAATTGAGAATTGGATTTCAGAATTAAGGGAATATAAGTGATGGGTTGGAGTTGAAATGTGTTTTAGAAATGGACTGAACTTTTAGCTTGTTAGGACTTCTGGAAGCAAGAATGCCTTCTGTGTTTCGGGAGGCACTCTGGGGGTGCATTTATCCTTTAAATCTAGGTTACTCGGTGTCACGGAAGCTTTCTGCATCATTAGAAGCTACTCCTGATTCGAAGTGAGTGCCTACCTGGTTTTTTCCATGATAGATTTTGATTGTGGTACATTTGGCTATTCATTTGACACCTAAAAGAAAATGATTCACCTCTTTGGAAAAATAGAAGGTGTTTCATTATCCGACCATTTCTGCAAACTCTCATCGCCTGCGTCTGCCCGTCTCTCTCATTGTGGCACCCATGCCAGCTCTCCCTGTGAGTCAGGTTATTACCCGGGAGGAGCCAGGAGCCTGGGGGTCTGTGTTTGTTCAGGGTCTCCTGTGTGCTGGACACTGTACGCATTACACAGTTTCTCCCATCCTGCTACGGATGCCTTGTTCCCTCCATCTTACTAAGGAGGAGACCGATGGTCATAGGGTCAGGAAGCCAGCAGGTGACAGAGCCAAGATATGACTTGTCTTTCGGAACTGAAGCCCCTTGAACTGGAGCGAGGAAAGGCCCAGAAGGTGGGCGTTTCCATGTTGCCCGGGTGCTTATGGTTTAAGGTTTTCTGTTTAAATCGAGGGCAGCTGAAACCTTTTATTCCCCTCTTCTATCTACTTCTTTTTTCCTCTCGATTTCCTTCCCACATCAAATTTAAGCAAGATTGTCAGTAGGTGAAAATTACCTATTACTTCCTAGCAAATATGGCTTTCTGAATAGAATCGTCTCAGTAGGCAGCTGTACAGGCTGGGCGTGCGTTCCAGTATGAAGTATAAATACATATGTGTGTGTCTCTTCCAGAAAAAACTGTCCCCTCCCCCATCGTGGGGCTTTTCAAAAGAGTAATAACTAGCCCTGAGCATTTGTTTTGATTTTTGATGACCTGCGTGATGAAGATGAACATTTTGTGGTGGTGACCTTCCCTTTGCAGATCTGACACTAAAGTACAGAGAGTGGGTGTGATCTGCCCGGGTCACATGAGTGGTCAGTGGCAGTGCTAGTATTTGAAGTAAGTGTCTTGGCTCCCGATCCAACCAAAAAACCTGGGATCGGCTTGACGGAATCAAGTAGAACTGCCCTATAGGGTTTCTGAGGAGCAGCTGGTGGATTTGAACTGCCAGCCTTTTGGTTAGCAGCCAAGCTCTTAACCACTGCGCCACCAGGGCTCCTGCTGCTCCTGATCTGGTGACACTAAACCGCCTCAGCAGTGTTGGGGGTGGCCACACTTACAAAATAAAACGCAGAGTCCCATCTCGCGCAAAATGTAACGTGTTCGGGGACAAGAGTGGTAGATTAGTGAAATGTCCATGCGTCCACGGCCTTCCTCCTAGAGCAGGCTGTGTGTGCACACGAGGAAGGAGGACTCTCCTGTGTTTTCAGTTGGTGTGTTCTGATCTCAGTGGGCGAGGTGAACCTGGGTGAAGCCAGATGTATTGCAGCTCCAGGCTGGCTCACACGTGGAAAAGGAGGTTGTACCTGTTGCTGCATTTGTATGTACAGGAGGGACCCCTGCACTGGGTACTAGACAGCCATACTTGGGGTAAGAAGCAGTGCCCTCTCCCAGGGGTCCTCTGAGTGCTGCTGCGGGGAGACGCCTTGGTGAGATGGTGATGATGATGTCTGCCCGTGGAGCTGGCCATAGCGCCTGAGGTTCTGAAGGCACACACATCCGGGTAGTGATGGAGGGAGTCAGATGTCTTTATGACATACCCCGTGAAGCTCTTCTCAGCTTTCAGATTAGCCTCATATTCCAGGGACCTCACGTCAGGCTTTAAGGGTCCAGGCCCTTGACCATCACGTCCTTTTCTTCAGGAGATGCCAGACCACTTATTAGGTCGTTAAGAAAGAAAAACAAACCTGCATTTTATAAATTCAGGTGGTAAAGTAACGGTTTGACGTAGGCATCGCCTCACCTTTTTTCTCTCAGCAGATTAAAACGTGTGGTCTTTCCCAGAGGGTGGTTTGGAATCTGGTCGTCAGGGCTGGTGATTTGAGTCCCTTTCTTTGTTCTTCAGATCGGTGCTCGTCTCATCTCTTTCCTACAGGAGCCCTTCCTGGGGTGCGTGCCCACTGGGCGAGGCAGCACAGTGGGCAATGGGGTGCAGGGCGCTTTCTGTTTGCATTAATTGGCCCAGAATGCCATGGTTTTGGCCTCTTGATCCTTGATACACACCATCTACTGGAGATGGTTTTGAATTATTCAAATCTGGACCTCAGCAAAATAGGAACACTTAAATGGAGATTGGAGAAGAGGAGATTGAATTTTTCCCCCCTGAGATTTTAAATGCAAGGAAAATAGAACTTTTTGAATTAATGAATTGTTTGCAGCGGTGGGGGGTCTCCCCATTTGTTCTAACTCTACAAAATTAAATCTATTTTCTGAACTGTATGGGGGGAAAATATCTTTAAGGTAGATAATTTCTGAAAATGTCTTTGTGGTAAGCTGTTAGTGGTTGTGAATTTTTTTTTTTTTTAATACTGCAGTTTAATAATGAGGGAGTTTTCCATTAATATTCTAAACCATGTTTGCCAGCGGATACAGCAGGTGAAGTGGTAAAATTATGGGCCCATCAAAAATACTTACGCTTCCTGTAATATGATATTAAGTTTAATATTTTTATAACCTTCACTGAATTCTAATTTCACTAAAGTAGCAAGCATGCTTCCATTTGCAGTTCAGTTATGCACATTGGTTGCCTGTGCACCAGGCAAATTAGAAATGCAAAATGTGTGTGTGTGTGTGTGTGTGTTTAAGGGGAGGCATTGGAAAGAGTCATCAAAGATACCAGTATTTCGGTCCCAGATACACTTTCCTGAGTGTATCCAGGGAATTGAAAGTGGATTAAAAACAAATACAGACAAATCTCCTACTGTCTGAATCTGTATTTTAAACTGAAATTCGAAGAAGTAAGGAGCAATATTCATTCCTGACATACAGCCCTTCTCAGCACCTATTTCAGTCACACCGAAAGCATAAAGTTCTTCCATTAAAACCCTAAGGATAGACGAGTGTCTGCAACTCTTCTTGGATGGAAACATTGGTCAGTCAATGTGATTAGGTAGTATTGCAATTGCTAATTAATCTTTTTAAGATTTTGCTGACTCAGTTCAGTGGAGCCGCTTTGTGGGCGCGGGTGCCAGCTCGAGCTTTGGGTGATGAGCACGGAGAGTGAGGCGCTGGGCCCTTAGACTGAAAAGTCATGTGCCGTCAGGTGCTGAGAGTGGAAACTACACGTGGGGCTTCTTTACAGTAGCGTTCTTCGTTTGATCATTCACTTCGGAAGCGTCTGATAAGACCTTTTTATAAATGGTTTTCATGATCCAGGTTTACTACTCTCAGATAAGAACAACTCACATTCATGCTTAACAGATGTCTTTAATCTTTTTCACCAGATGAGATTCTGTTTTTTTTTTTTTTAAAAAGGATATTACCAACAAAAATTCAGCTTAATTGTTCTTTTAAGATTTTTTTTAAGTTTACTGTAGTATTTAGGTTTGTTAAGAAGAATCCTGTTTCACTTTCTAAGAGGATGACACAATTGATTGTTCCATTTTCAAATACCATGACCAAGAGGACTCATCAAGTACATTTAGTACACCTCACTTAGCGGAAGCCTACTTCAAGTCTCTCCAACTCAACTTAGAAGCAAAAATTAAGCAAAATTTTAGAGCAGCCAAAGTGGATTTTCTTTTCATTCATTACAATTCCTTGAGTATTGGTACACTTAACTCATGAGAGCTTCCGATCTGGCCTCCCATCCTATTTACTCCTGTTTTATTTGGCCTGTTGTTAACACAGCATCGACACTGCTCTGGTTTCTAGCCCATCACAGAGCAGAATGAAGGGAAAGGGCTGTGAGAGGTGGCCACCTCAGAAACAGCAGAGGTGACAGCATATATAGCCTGGGTGGCAGTGCCACAGAAGGCAGGTATGAGAGAGTGCTGAGAAGTAACAGTGGGATGTGAGTTACTTCAGCATCAGGCAGACCGTTCTCATATTTCAGTTGATCAGTCTCGAGACATGACTTGTACGTCGTGTATATAATGGGTGTTCGTAATCACTGCGTGAGAGGATCAGGAAAAGATGATGTCCTATTCCATTATCAAGTGTTAGAAGGGACAGGAAAGTATGTTGGGTTTTTGACAAACGTATCAAAAGTGCTGTTTATAAAAAAAGGGTGAGTGAGCCCTGCTGTTTGTCTGTGACTGTAGGTAACACTTCTCATCCTCCCAGTGGCTGGAGTTGAGACCTC